AAAACCAAATTAGAAGAAAAAAGATATAGGAATTTGGATATATGGCACCAATCTGTCTCACACTTTTATGGCTCTGATTGAGTTGCGTATACAAACAACCTCAGCAGCAAGCAAGTCTGCTCTTGGCCTCTTAATATGAATATGAAGGGAGCTAAATAATCATGAGTTTAAAAAATAAAAAAATAAAAACTTGGGTTTTGTTTGTTGGAGGATTTTTGCAGAAGTGTGTCACCACCTCTTGAACAACCTCTGATTGGTCCACGTGGCATCCATGAAGTGAACTTCACCAGATCAGCCTCTGGTCCATTCCCTCACATTTTGAAATGAAGACTTGAGAAAAAAAAAAAAAATTGACACACCAATTAGGGGAATTGCCAAAATGCTTAAAACCCAAGTGAAATCTGTCCTTGCTGAGCAGCAGCCTGTTGGAGCAAAACTCCACATGTATATCAATGATGGAGCACCCACCACCCCCACCTTTACACAACAAAAACCACCATTATCATCTTCCTTGTTGTTGCTCTATCACTAGCAAGAGCTTATCTGCAGCTGCTGCTGATTCTGATGCTGCATTACAGAAATTAAGCTGCTCATGTCTGCCACTTCCCTTGCTTCTTCTCTCTCTCTCCCCAACTTGTTCTTTTCGTGTTCGTGTTTCCTTACCTTTCTTGCTCAAACAAGATGGAAAGTCTTCTTTCATCTTTTTGCTTCTAGCTTTCCCATCCGTAACCAGCACTACTAGTCCACCTGCACAATTAAGCTTCCAGCATATTCGTTCAAAGCAAATATGTCACAGGTGTGGTACCGAAAAGGTACCGAAAAAGGCTACAGGGGAAGGAGGGGAAGTAGGAGATGTGTCACCGAAGCCAAGTGGCCTTGCTATTAATACCCCAAAAATCTTGTAGCTAGCTAGCAAGTTAGCAACCAACCAACCCTTTTACTTTACAAGTCTTGAAGAGTTAAGCAAAGACCAGAAAAACCAAAAAAAAAAAAAAAAAAGAAAGAGAAAAAGATGTCACTTTCCTGCACAAAAAACTTCTTCAAGAGGTTCTGTATTGATGAATATCAAATAGATAGTGTTGCTCAGAGCAGCTTCTTCTCTAGTGATCTTCTGCCATCCCTTGGAGCCAGAATCAACCAGTCAACTAAGCTCAGGAAATACATTATATCCCCATACAATCCTCGCTATAGGTGATGATCGTTTCTTCATTTCTTTGTCACATTACTTCTTCTTCAATGTTATTTGTTTCTTTCTACACTGCTGCTGCTGCTCATCAAATTCATGCCCTCTCTCTAAATATGATCCTCTTTTTTCAGGGCTTGGGAGATGTTACTTGTTCTTCTAGTCATTTACTCCTCCTGGATTTGCCCGTTCGAGTTTGCATTTCTCCCTTACAAGCAAGATGCTCTTTTCGTCATTGACAACATTGTCAATGGCTTCTTTGCCATTGACATCTTCCTCACTTTCTTTGTTGCCTATGTCGACAGCCGCTCTTATCTTCTCGTTGACAATCCCAAGCAAATCGCAATGAGGTGCGTTAGTACTTCATTCTGAGTTACAACAACCAGGAGATGTGTTTTAGTTTCTTTACAAGAATAAATAATCCTCTTTCTTTCGTTCTAACACAACCAACAGGTACATCTCAACCTGGTTCATTTTCGATGTGTGCTCCACTGCACCATTTCAGTCAATTAGCCTCCTCTTCACAAATCACGGCAGCGAACTTGGCTTCAAACTACTCAACATGCTCAGGCTCTGGCGCCTCAGACGTGTCAGCTCCCTGTTTGCAAGGTTCATCACCACCATACTCTTCCATCGTAAACCTATGGCTTTGCCTTTGGTTTTCTTCAATTTTTCCAATTGTTTTGATGCAGTATTGACAAACACAATACTTACTAGCCGGTTTGCTTTCCCTTCAGACTTGAGAAGGACATTCGGTTCAATTACTTCTGGATTCGGTGCACAAAGCTCATATCTGTAAGCCCCTAAAACCCCAACACATGCACCATAACTCTTCTCTTGTCATTTTGGCTGTTCACCATTTCTGAATTTATGTGGCATCCAAATTGCAGGTAACCCTTTTTGCAGTACACTGTGCTGGATGCTTCAACTATCTGATCGCAGACCGATATCCTGACCCGAAACGAACCTGGATTGGTGCAGTGTACCCAAATTTCAAAGAGGACAGTCTCTGGAACAGATATGTGACTGCAATATACTGGTCTATAACCACACTAACAACAACTGGCTATGGGGACCTGCATGCTGAGAACCCCAGGGAGATGCTGTTTGACATTTTCTACATGCTCTTCAACTTGGGATTGACATCTTACCTCATTGGAAACATGACAAACCTTGTGGTTCATTGGACCAGCAGAACCAGAATCTTTGTAAGTAAAAGTCCTTTTTCTAGAGAACAACTACAGCTCAAAATAATGAACCAGCCTAAGAGAGTCCCAAACGTTAGGCACTAGGCAGGTTGTAAATGGACCAAAATAATCCCCCAGTCACAATCAAAGTTTTAGAATAAGGTCCAAATATCTGTTCCTTTGTAAGCTCTCTTGTCTACCCCACATTTTGAGATTGTTTCTTCAAATCAAAACTCAACTCAAAAATATATTAATTAAATTTATAATTTTTTTTTTCAAAAATAAAATATTAGATGATGAAGCTTTGCTTTTGGTGTTTTACAGAGGGATACAGTGAGAGCTGCTACGGAATTTGCAGCAAGAAATGACTTGCCCCAACGCATTCAGGATCAAATGTTGTCACATATATGCCTCAAGTTCAAGACAGAAGGTTTGAAGCAGCAAGAGACTTTAAATGGTTTGCCAAAAGCCATTCGTTCAAGCATTGCACAACATCTCTTCTTCCCCATTGTTCAAAAAGTCGATCTCTTTCAAGGAGTTTCTCATGACTTCCTCTTTCAGTTGGTAAAATTTTATTTTATTTTATTTTCCTCCACCTTCTTATTATTATTATTTTAGTACAAGCGATAGTCTAAACTCACACACAAAACTAAGATGCCATGGTGCAAGTCAAGGTCCTTTTTCACTGGACTAGACCCCGTTGGCCCTTCATCTTCTCTTTTAAATTTCTCACAAGATTGCTAAAAACCATGCATTCTTTTATTAAGGTATCAGAAATAGACGCAGAGTATTTTCCACCCAGGGAAGATGTAATTCTACAAAATGAGGCTCCAACGGATCTTTACATACTGGTCTCAGGTGCAGTGGTGCGCCAACTTAACTCTTATCTCTTACATGATCTTCGTATATTATTCTTACAAAAGCTTTCTGACCTAAATTTCAATTTGGAAAATTCCATCGTTGCAGGATTTGATATGCAATATTGATGGGCATGAGCAAGTAAGTCACAGATACAAATATGATTGTTGACATTTCAAAATACTCTGTTTGGATTGGAAAACATAGAGATAACATCTGACTTCACATTCTCCAAACAGGTTGTAGGAAAGGCAACTGCTGATGATACTTTGGGAGAAATAGGAGTATTATGTAATATGCCACAGCCTTTCACCGTTCGGACCACCAAACTTTCTCAGATTTTACGACTCCGCAGCAGTTCCCTGATGACCACTGTACAAGCAAATAAGGAAGATGAGCAAATTATCATGAACAACATTTATATGGTACTAAAACAATATTGTTTTTCAAAAAAAAAAAAAAAAAAAAAGGTGCATNNNAAAAAAAAAGGTGCATGTAGTCATGCACACCACCCTTCTCTTCCAATGACTGATAGTCTGTACTCTACTTTACAGAAACTGAAGGGCCAAGAAGGGTTGGGCTGTGAATATCCACATACAGATCCAATAGAAGGATGCTGTTCTCAAGCACAATGCAAAGATAATTCACATCAAGATCCATCGATTCAGGAAGCGAGGAATGATTTGTTTACAGGTCCAGAGGCTACAGAGAAGAGTGAGATATGCAAGGCTGATATTTTAACTAGATGTGCAATGGATGTCAACATCGCGGCTGAGGACGGCCAAATGGCTCTTCATTCTGCTGTTAGCCAGGGACATAAGGAAATGGATAAAATTTTGCTTGAAGGAGGAACCAATGTAAACAAACCGGAGGACGCCAAAGGTTGGACGCCAAAAGCTCTGGCACAACAGCAGGGAAACAAGAGCATAAATGACCTCTTACGAAGTTATGAGAATAGGAGAATAGATGAACATAGAATAGAGTTTACTGAGCCAGAAACATCTGAAAGCACCAGGAATTGTAAAGGAAATTCCAAAAGACACGAGGGCACCCAGTTTTTCCACTCTCACTTGAGAAAGAAACCCATGAAGTCCTACTCAGGCACTTCTAGCCCTGCAAGAGATAGAGAAGGGATGAGATCAATCAACAAGAGAGTAACTATCCACATGCATTTTCAAAATGGAAGTGTATCAGAAATGCAGCTTGCAAAGTTAATAATCCTACCTGATTCGATGGAAGAGCTGCTCAGAGTTGCCAGTAAGCTTTCCTTTTTAACTCAAAAAGTAGATTAGGAACAAACCTGAACTATAAATTCTTATAAATTAGAAAATATTCAACACAAAACTTAACAGGATAAGCATACAGTTTCCATAACAGCACAGTTTTGTCCTCACACTTTATGACATTGCAGGTGATAAGTTTGGAGGCTACAAACCGACAAAAGTCATTAATGCCGAGAATGCAGAAATAGATGACTTAAGTGTTGTTCGAGATGGTGATCACCTGTTTCTTCTTCATCATGACTCTGATAATATGAATTCTGATGTGACTTAATATTATTTAGATACAACTACGTAGAGGTGAAGATAGCTTGTAACTTTTAGGCAATGTAAAATAAGATGTTAACAGCAATTTCGATGTGACTAAACCAGTTGAAGATTTTGGTTCCCCAAATCCAGTAATACTACCGGAGAAGTGGAAAAAAGTCGATTACCGAATATGGCACTTTCATACTTTTGATGGGCAAAACCCCATTAGGTAATGAATCAAAATTGTAAAATAGCAATTAGTACATATTACAATCTTGTCATTATCTGGTGCACCCCCAAGCACACAGGGGTGTCTGGAAAAACTCTCCGTCCGGTAGGTTTGTCACGTAATGAATTGCACAAGAAGAGAAACAAATTAAGCCGCCTCTAACTTCAGCCAGGGTATTTACTGTCTTCTGGAATCAGATATACTCTGTAAATATGTATGAGCAAGTCCGGAAGGAGCATTCAAGTTCACATCTGCTACCATATAATTTGTCCATACATGCTTTGCTTCCTTTTCCTTTGAATTGATGCTTTAGTGCAACAAAATTTTATCCCCTCTTGGTAGTGCCTTCTACTGGAATAGGATGAGCTTCTGTGTTAAAAACAAATTTATCCAATGGAAGGACGCCACTATCTCCAAACAGCAAGTACAAATACTTCAGTGTCTCGCCCAAAAAGAACGTCTCCATTTTGTCTCTTTTATGAGGAGGAACTGAAGTTACGTCATCCAAAGAACAGTATCCACCGGTATCAATTCTTGTATATTTCTCAAATGCTTCAAAAATCTGCCAACCCCATTCACGATATCTGCAAGTACCAAGTATAAGTGAAAGTGCTCCAAAAGGGGATATGACTTATCCTCTACTCGTGTGGTATTTATGGGGCAATAAAACTGATGGACACATAACGAGGAAATTAAAAGCTTACTTTGGATTCTCTGTGATGCGGTACAAGACAAACAATGATTCCACAGTTTCAGGACGCAAGAGATTATGACGATCAGCAGGTTTGATGATTATGTCATTCACATATTCAGAACTCTTGTTACCACCATCAAGACCTCCTTCAGAAAATTCCTGCTTCAATTAGAGAAATTGTCAAGTTACCAGGTACAATATAGACAATAGAGAGTTCGGAATGATGACAAAAAATGTTACTTTAATGACCATTGTGAAAATTTGGCAGATCTTTTCTCAAATAATATAGCTCATGTAGATCCAAAACTAACCTCTGTATGGAAGTAAGCAATTTCTGGAGCAAGACCGGTAGAGGTTACTGAATACATCTCAAAGCATGTTTTAGCCAGATCTTCTGCAAGTTTCAAATTTTTTAAGTCCTCAAAGTTAATCACACTATCTGTCATTGCTTTTTTCTTGGTAATGCCTTTCGTGGCACCAAGTGCAAGAGTACCGGGCAAAAAACATACCTGCGAAAGGCAGTTCAAAATGTCACACTAAGAATCATTTCCAAAAGAGCAAGTATGAGCTTGGCGCAGTGACAGGTAAATACATCTTATCAAGGATACCACAAAAAGTTAAGCATACATGTACATTGTGGTTGTGCAAAATACAAGCCAATTAATAAATCTAGACTTTAAAACTTTGATTAAGCATATCCAATGCCACCTACACTTCACCGCCCTATGTGGAGCAACATGATGTCCACCTGTTGGCCTTTTCCTTCTGACTTTGAAGAACTTATAGCAAGCAATAGCATAGACAAGTAACCTATAAGTTATCGAAATGCCAAAGATTTTATGGAGTGTAACTTACCAGGTGATCCATTTTGGGACTAAAAGAACCCTCGGATCCATAAGGCAATTCCCCTACAAAAACCAATCCATTTGGGATTGATTTCCGAACAAGAAGGTGCCTAACACCCTTCATTGCTTCCTCATACATATCATAGAGGTATGTAACATTACTTTCTTGATTTTTCTGAAGCCAAACTTTCAGTAGGTACTCATAGTAGCTGTCACCGCGAGATCCCAGTCTTATATTTTCTCCACTAAATTCACCAGTGCTAGGGCTGCACACAGTATAGACAACATCAACAAAGAGAAAATAAAAAAGGCACATGTGAGACGCTGACTACTGAATACATTTAAAAAAAAAATTGAAACATAAAGATAAACACAAACACACTCACTCACAAGAACAAATAAATACATTTGTGCAAGTGCAGTTTTAGAAATGAGCAATGATCAAAATAACCACCAATAATTGTATCCAAGAGACCAAGGGAGGGAACTCCTAGAATCAGGAACCTTTCAGCACCACCCTCAATAAGAATACTCGTATTATAAGAGTTTAACACATAGACTTGAAGAAAAAAGGGAAACAGAAGAGATTATTTAAGAAATTCTTCTACGGAAATTATTATGGCGGAATTATATCAAGGCCACATGGAATTCAACCAGTTGAGTTGAACATTTCTCATAGAAGAACAAAGAGGTATTCTCCCCCACCATTGAGAGCAAACCTTTTTTTGGTCCCAAACCCATATATTTTGTTCTTAGATAAGCACAAGGGGGCCCTTTTCATATTCCCAACTCTATGTTTTTATTTATAAGACCCAACATATCATAATGGAGTATAATGTATGTAATCAAATCATAATCATACTAGTATAAGTCATTTTATGTAGACCTAATGAGAGCTGCTAGGTACAAGGAAAATGTCAACATGATGCTAGACTTATAAGCAAGAATTAAGAAGTTGATAAGAATAATGATGTAAGCATTAATAAAATATTGAGATGTAAGGCTCATACTTTATAAAGATAGGAACCAGTCCTTCCACCTTTGGTAGAGTCTTCATGTGTTCCAAGACCTTCATAGCTTCCACACTGTACTTTGGATCACCAGAAACTGAACTTAGATAATTGAATTCAAGCTGTAAAGAAGAAACTTCTGAAGTACTACTACGACCATCAGGAGCTGGATGCGCTGAAGGGTCGCGAAGAACAACATCACCAAAGGGAATAGCAGTTGGACTGGAAGTAAAACCAGATAGTAGACGATCAGCTAAGTTTTTAGCAGTTTCCAGATAAACAACTGGTTTAGGTCCTTTATGTGTTGAGTCCATCCCATTTTCCACAGAACTAAGATGATATGCACTTAAAAGACCACCCAAAACACGTATTGTAGTTTCAAATAAATTAACTTGTCCCGTCTGATTAATCCTATTTGAAAGGTGTGTTTCAATCCATAAGCTTGCTTCAGAAACAACTTCATCAGCACCCATTATCATGGCAGTATCAAGGGCATCCACAACAGTTGCACCTAGACCACCTAACCCATCAACTCCATGCTTGCTCACGGGCATCAACTCATCAAAACCCATTGCATACTTTTTATAGCCAGACCATGCATGAATAAAAGCCTTCTTAACATCCTGTTGCCTAGCTATCCATTTTGGGTCAGAATTTAACTTCCTACGCTCATCACCAAGGTTACCGTTGCTACCTTTTTCATCAGGTGGTAATTGAGGAGGAAGTCTTGGTGGTTTTCTGAAAATATTTCCAAATCTAATGCCACCGCCCGTAATGTGCTCAACTGAATTGTTCTTACTACCCTTCACAAATCCGCCAGTAACAGAATTTGTGGGACTTGTGCGTGTCAGCATAAGATATGCTACACCAAATATCATTATTAAAAATAGAAACTTTCCTGTGCTACAACTCATACAGTGATGCTTTACGTTACTGGTGTGTAAGGACTGAGATATCATCTGGGAAACAAGACATAAACTTATGTCATTTAAATGAGACAAGGTGCTAAATCAAATTAATAGAGAAAAACTACTAATGAGGATGCAAAAAAATTACATTTTTCAAATCACATCTTTGATCTATCCTATCCATAAAATCTTACAATATGATAATTAATTACTAGAGCATCATCATCTAATTAATTAATCTCTACAAATGTAAGAAAACTGAAATTCAGCTATATGAAAAAAACAATAAATTTAATCAATTTTCAGAATTAAGCGCAATCTGAACAATGAATTTAACTGACTAGAACTAGAAGCGCAGAAACGAGAGAGAGAGATCTAAGAAATGGAGGACCTTGACCAAGGAGCGATGGCGGAACTTGGCGTTGTCGTAGTAGACATCTTTCTTGGAGTACGGTAGAGACTTGGACCACATGCTCGATCCGATCACCGTCGCCGCCGCCTTAGGGTTTCGCTCTGACTGCTCAGCTCCGCCCCTACAGTCGGAGGCTGAGATGCACCGTGCGCCGAGTTGGATGAGATTTTCCCGAGAAAGTGATGGAAAATTTTTGTTGGGTTTGTGTGTTTTGGGCGCGGAATTGGATTCACAGGTACGTTGAATGTCGATCAATACCACCGATCGTTCAGGAGCTTCACTCCTTTCTCCTGTATTTCTTTGTCTGTAAATTTTAGAGAGTGAGAGTTTTTGTTGACCATTCGACAAACACGTCACGACGAGACCTACACGAAGAAACACGACGGAATTTCCATTTAAGGCCTTGGACTTGTTCGGAAAATTATGAGAGAGTTGGGTCAGGAGGAAGTCCACGAGCCTTTTATTTTCCAAAAATAAAAAATAAAGAAAAAAAATCCTCACATCAATTTTAGAGTCCAAATCGAAAATGGCCCAAATCAATTGGGTTTAGATTTTGTGCAAACCAAAACCAAACAATGAAATTCAATTCAACACTTGGGGTGTCTAAATAAACTTTAGGAAATTACTATTTACCCCAACGATAAGTTGATGAATTTACTCAATACACCAAATACCTAAATAAATAGTTTCACATTCTGATCAAAATCCCATAATCTGATTAATTCCAAATTTCATTTCAACTTTTGTTCTTCAAAATTCCATTTTTTCCATTTTTATATAAATGCAAGAGCAACCCAAAACCTCTCAACTCTAATGGGTTTCATGCTCTGTGCATTTCTCATCCTCATCCTCCTCCTCCTCCTCCTCCACAGCCCCTCCTCTTCTGCTCTCATCTCCTCCTTCTCCTCCTCCTCATCATCCCATGAAATCCAACACAAACCCCCCTCAGACGCATCCACCGCCACCGCCGCCCAATACCGAGTGTTCTACATCAAGAACACGACACCGTTTCCCTTGGACAAACAAGATCAACTGAGCAAGAAGCACAGAAAGATGAGGCACAAGCAGAAGAAAAGGAGAAAGAAAACCAACAACAACTTCAAAAGCAGGCCTTTCTCCGTAATGCTGCCCAAGGGTTTTGTCCCTCCTTCCGGCTCCTCCCCTTGCCACAATGGTTACCCCAACTCCGTCGTATTCTTCTGCGACCTTGCCCCCACCACTGCAAAACCCTAGCTAGCCTACACCAGAAGGATCCTTCAGTCCAAATGCTCATTGTTCTCTTGGCCGTGCGCGTCTCGTGATAATGAAAACAGATGATCAAGATCGATGGGTTACGATGTTTTTTGTTTTCTTTTTGTTTTCGTACTTTCTTGGTGAATTTGGTTTCAGATCTTTCATTTCACCCACCTTTCTTGAAGCTTCTAGGTCGTATGATCAACTGTAAACACTATTTGTTAGCCATGTAATGAAGAACAGATATATATATATATATATAGATATGATCAAAACCCATTTGATGATGATAAGTTTCAATATAGCTTCTCTCTGTATTTTTATGTTATTTCGATGCATACATATCAAAACCCATTTAGGGAAATGCTTCAGTATTTTCTTTTTCTTTCGTAATGAATTAAATAATTAAATTGTGTTATGCATGTTGAGACATGATGTTAATGAGATGTGTGTTAATGCTTTGACATTTTCAGATTTGGGTATGTTTCATTTCTCCTAATACATACAGAAAGTCAATGTGTGTGTCAGTGTGTTAGTAGGTGTGATTTCAAGCCGGAAAATAGGAAGAGAGGCATGTGATGATGTATAATATAAACTCTACTTGTATAATATGAGGGGGCACTGCACTTGCCCTTATTTTCTTGGGTTATTCAAGTTTCCGTAGCGTGCACTCCATGCATGGAATGGTAGTATGGGCTCTCTTTGCGATGTGTGTGCAAATCTATACATAGATTGCATAAAATAACTAGCCTTTCCTATTGTATGTATCTTATGGTAATTTGGGTTCAAATGTTGGCCTTGTCTCCCTCTGCTTTTTCCTTTTAGTGCTTGCAAGTAGTTTAGGGTTTAGGGTTTAGGGTTTGCTTTAAACTCTTATGGAGGATGGGGAAACGAACCATTTAGGTTTTTCTATTTGCTTGCCATACATAATTTATACGAAAAACTTATTTACATTGGAGATGCCATTGTGGTGGTATCTCAAATCAATCTCACACCATCATGCCTTTGAACTCTCCACATGACAGTGTGTCATTAGCTTAGAATATTGCCACAATGACACCCCGGTGGTGCATGGAAGTTCTTCTCCTTTATAAGACTAGGCCAGTCTGAAGACAGACATTGACCCAACCTAAAAATTCAGGTTCAAGGCCCAGCCCAAGCCCAAGACCAAGTCCCTCCAATCTAAAAAGCGCGAAGACAAAGCCTCAATAGCAAAACTACCAACGGTCCAAAACCAGCCAAAATCGAAGGGGAGAAGAGGGTTGCGGACTCTCTGCCCCTCAACATTCGTCTTCAACCCAACAAAAATGTCAGTGAGAACAACCATCAAACACCTTCAGTACCACCACTTCCCTTACCTCAAAACCCTCACTCGCACTCTCTCATGGTCCCTCTCCACACCAACGTCGCCAAATCGACCGCCTTCAAAGCAAGACCAGCAAGACCCATACTCGCTCCTCAAACAAGACCCAATTGAAATTTGCTCAGCTCTGTGGGTCAAGGCCTTCTCCTCCCCACCCACCTTCGCCTTCCCCAACCTCACCGGCTTCCTCTCCAAATTCGACCTCTGGGTCCTGGCCTATCAACGCTCCTGCGCTCACGTGACCGGCACGTTCCCTCCCCGCAACGCCATCCACTCCCACGTCCTCCATGACCTCCTCTCCCTCCGAAATGCCGTCGTTCGCGGCAATTTCTATTGGAACAAGAAGACCCAGCAATTCATTCGGAGCCCCAACGACAAGACCAGTATCGAGCTCCTCTCCAAGCGTAAGCTCCAGGCTATGCTCGAGTCCGACGAGCCCTGCTTTCAGGACCGGGTCGTTCAGGAGGTCTTGTTGATGATACTGGAGCCTGTTTTCGAGGCCCGGTTCTCGCCCAAGTCCCACGCTTTTCGACCTGGCAGGAACGCCCACACGGTTATTCGGACTATTCGGAGCAACTTCGCCGGTTACTTGTGGTTTCTGAGAGGCGATATCAGTGAAATTTTTGACAATGTGGATAGGAATATGGTGATGGATTGCTTAGAGCAGGCCGTGAGGGACAAGAAAATACTGGGTTTGATCCAATGCGCGGTTAGAGCGCCGAATCGAAAACAGAGTGATGGTTATGAAGAATGGCCAAAGAACAGAAAGAAGAAGAAAGCGCCTAAGAAGAAGAAGATTTTGAACGATAAGGAGCCGAAGCCAGACCCGTATTGGTTGAGAACGTTCTTCAATTTTGCACCTGAAGAGGCTGCTAAGGTACCTTCTTATGGTCATTGTGGAATTTTAAGTCCTTTACTTGCTAATGTATGTCTTAATGAATTGGATAAATTTATGGAAGATAAGATAGTTGAGTTTTTTAGGCCATCTAGTCTTGATTCAATTTGGAAGAATTCGATAAACGATGGCTGTCATAACCCTGCTTGGCCGGAGTTTGTTCCTTCTAGTGGCAATGAGAAAACTAGAAAAATGGATTATATTAGATATGGGGGTCATTTCTTGATTGGGATCCGAGGGCCTAGAGAGGATGCAGTTGACATTCGTAAGCAAATAATTGAGTTTTGTGAGAGAAGATTTGGAATAAGGTTGGATAACTCCAAGGTGGATATTGAACACATAACTAGGGGAATTCAGTTCTTAGACCATATAATTTGCCGCAGGGTTATACACCCTACACTTAGGTACACGGCGACCGGAGGTAATGTGGTGAGCCAAAAAGGTGTAGGGACTCTGCTTTCTGTTACTGCTAGCTTACAACAATGTATTCGCCAATTCAGGCGGCTTGCATTTGTTAAGGGTGATAAAGATCCTGAGCCACTGCCCTGCACTCCTATGCTTTACTCTGGTCAAGCTCATACCAATTCCCAGATGAATAAGTTGTTGGAGACCATGGCTGATTGGTACAAATATGCTGATAATCGCAAGAAAGTTGTTGGTTTTTGTGCCTATGTGATTCGTAGCTCTTTGGCTAAACTGTATGCTGCAAGGTATAGGCTGAAATCACGAGCCAAGGTGTATGGAATAGCTTCACGTGATCTCAGTCGTCCACTGAGGGAGAGCAGTAACAACTCTGCACCTGAATATTCTGATCTATTGAGGGTGGGTCTTGTTGATGCAATTGAAGGCGTTCGGTTCTCACACATGTCTATGATTCCATCTTGTGATTACTCCCCATTTCCTAGAAATTGGATCCCAGATCATGAGCAGCTCTTACGTGACTACATCAGACTTGAAGACCCAAAATATTTATGTGACTTGCATAGATCAATTAAACGAGATGGTTTGAGTTTGCCTCAAGATGAGATCTCTGAAATTCTGTGGGATTTCAAAACCCTTGGGGTTTGGAATTATAAGCACAGGGAAGAAAAAGAAACAAAGAAAGATTGCTTGGAAGTGCCTGCCACGTGATGAATTCTATCGTGGAATGGAAAATGGAACTTCATCGATTGCTGACCGGGGTAGGACACCTGCTTGAAATTCTTTTGGGCATTGTCAATTTTCATGAAAGGTTTGTCAACTAACCATTATGGTACTTTCTGATGCGTTGGTTTTAGTTGTTGCTGGACTGCTTAATCAAGAGGGAGGGAATACGCATGCCCATGTATTTAGAGTGACTGAAATTTGGAATATGACAGTGAGAATAGCAAGAAAAGGACTTAATTTGGGCATAGTGATTTGGGACACTGATGTGGATAATGTTTTGTCCAATGATCTGCCCTTAAGTGGAGCAAGAAATGTTTCCTGGAATTAAATCCAGTTGTCCGGTTTGAAGTGGCATAAATAAAAGACTCAAGTGAAGCTCCTTTGGACGATTCTATGGACGCCCGACTCAGTAGAACTAGTATTTATAATAAAATCAAATGGATCAAGAAAGGAATATTTATGAACTAGCCTCAGCAGAAAATGAAGAAAGTTGGAGCAAGCTTTTGCTGTTGATGGTTGGCATTCTTGGGGAAGAACAATGGTCAAATATGGAACACAAATGGGGTATTGTGGAGCATAGTTGATATTTTGTTCCATGAACATCTAAGCATAGAAGTCTGCTTAGATTTGTCATGCATGGTGGTAAATTGATGCTGTTTTTCTATACGAACCAACGCTATGTGGTTTTATCTTTCATGCTGACCCTCATTATATTTATGCTAAATGCTTAGACTTTTCTGAAGCCCTGAGTGGTAAAAGCAAAGACTTCAGTGCTTGTCTTTCTGATCACCGCCATCCTTATGATCTTCGTCCTCAAATGCTGAAGCTGGGAATGTTCCACCCGGCCGGTGGGTTTTTTAAGGGTAAGCTTGTTTGAAGAGAGATCTTTGAAGCAGATTTAGCAAACGCCGATCCTGTGGAACATTTCCTTATTGGCACAACCAGTGAGCTTCTTAATCCTACCGTTCTCAACAAGCATTGTGAGCTCAGCATCTTAGACGATGGTCCTGCCGGTGCTCTTAAACTTGTGCTCCTTCTTCTGCTTCAGCCACACAAAGCCTGAGGTTCGGCGGTGCCCCAATCCTTGTAAAGATTAACAATGAACAACCGTTGACTATCACAAGCTTAATTTTCAGAAAACTTTTATATTTTAAAAAGTTGTTCATAAAGATATATAAAGAAAATTTACTTATGTAAGATGGTTGTAACTCAAGTGGTTATCAAGTGGTTGAGAGCATTTAACCATACACGGAAATCTTATATTGGATTCTTCTTTTCAATATCCTTTGTATCCAAAAAAGAAAACAATTGACTACCTCACCTCTGTTTTTCTTCTGCATCATAGGGCATCCTAGCTCAACACCAAAACACCCAATACAATACAAAACAAATAATAAAGAAAATGAAATGAAAGTGTAACGACGTAATCACATATTGAATGAATTGAAAACGAAAAAACAAAACAAAAGTTATTCAATATATTTTTTTTTTTCTTCGACCAAAAAGAGAAAGGCTTTCATTTTTTCCCATCAGCATTCTTTTCATCTTCTTCAAGCCCAAAGGCTGTGACAGGGAACGACCTTGAGATCCCGGTGCCGTTGGCGAACGTGATCTTATCCGGATTCGAATTCGGGTCCACGTAGATATCCGAAATCGAGACCCAAATCAAAAGCTCCTTACTTTTAACCCCAGAGAGCCTCCTCATCCGATGCTCTTCCACAAAGCCCGTCACCTCCGTGTCGTACGACACCATTTTGCCAAGGGCGTGGAACCGGTGCTCTTTCTTCTTCTTCTGCTTGAGCCATACAAATCCGGAGGTGTGGTTGTAACCGAACTCTAGGACATCTTCTAAGGGCAGGAGGGCACGCGGCAGGCTCATTTTGTCGAGCAGCTCGTGGGACTTCTGCTTGCATAGGGCTTCGCCGTGATAGATCTCGGCGTCTTCTCTGTGGCTCGCAATTTGTTGGGCTGACATTTGGGTGTAATCAGAGAGAGAGAGAGAGAGAGAGAGGTGGGGGGAAGGGTTTGTATATAAAAGTTAGGAATGGAAATGGAAGTGGTGGAGATCGATCGATTACTGTTTCTGGTTATGCATGGGGAATGATATTCTTTTTTAAGTAAAAGTAATATTATAAAAATAAAAATTTTCTTTTCTTTATGAAGTGTCAAATTTCTTTTTTTTTTTCTCTGATAGAAGTCAAATTTCTTTCTTTAACGGTCTATCTATTTTCTAACAGTCTCAATCAAATACTGTGAATTGTTCGGATCTTTGACTCAATCAAATCAATACTAAACACTATAAATAAATGATTTACATATTTTAGAAACACCATTTGTTTCAAAAGTGCTGCTAAACGAACCCTAAGGCCCCGTTTGGTTCACGGAATGAATTTGATGGGAAATCATTTCCCATGTCATTTCCCAAGGGATGGGAAATGGTGATTCATTTCCCATGTTTGTTTTGAGTAGGAATAGAAAACAAATTTTGTTTAGTTTCCCAATTGTATCCCTATTAAAGTAACAAAAAAATACCAATAATTGTTGGATAAAAAGTGTAATTATGAATTGTTAGTAAGGACAAATTAGTCAAAAAAAAGTTAGTCTTACTTTCCCATGGGAAGGGAAAGTGAAACCCAAGTAGGAAGGAATGATTCACTTTCCCTCCTACTTTCCCATGTGCTAGGCAACGCTTTCCCATGTCTGACTTACCAAACATGGGAAAGCAATTGGTTTCCCATCCCCAAGATTCCTTTCCCATGAACCAAACGCAGCCTAAAATTAACTTAGTACACTCTATAATCTAAGTACACCCTAATATTTAAATCAAAATATAAAATTAACTAAGCACATCGTATTTAATTACCAAAAATACCCCTATACACTCTATCACACAACACCATAATGCCTCCTCTGCAGCTGGAGATGATTTTATTGAAAATATGACAACCATTGTAAGTTGTTTTGGATTTGTTTTCCGATCTCTAGTTATTACTGGATAAATTTAAAATTAACCTACTACCCTTTGAAAGTTCTACATAAGCAGTCAATGCTCATACTGGTCGTCTAAATCTGCGTAAGCCGCTATTTTTAATTACTCTTCCTTCTTCCTTTTTGTAGTTCCAGAACCAAATAATAAATAGAAAAAAAGAAAAAAGAAACCAAGAGAATGTTCTAAGTTTGAAGGACTCAACTTTCATCCAATAAATTATTTATTTATTTTTCCTCCTCGTATGAATCATCCACAACCCCTTAAAGAACCTGTCGGAGTGGACTCCATGGAGCATGTATCCGCTAGACTGTTATCTACCACCAATGACAAACAACTTCATAGCATTCGCTTGCGTTTGATTAGGGTTGAATATAGTGAGTAGGATGTACTTATTAAAATAATTTGTTTCATAATTCAATACATCCATTTTGGTCATTTTATATTATGATAAATTAGTAATTCAATAAATAGTTTGATAGTACGGTGTACTCAATTAATTTTAGGGTTCGTTTAGCAGCACTCTTGTTTCAATTGATTGATTTAGTGACATTTTTTGAAGAAATTCAAATGTACTCTATCTAAATTATATAACTATTAAAGTGAGTGTCATCATTGTTACATTTCACAATGAAGATAATAAATTTCATCCAGATTAATCTCATCCCAAATTGTCCAAGTTTGAGAGATCAATGTTTTATTTATTTATACAAAGACGATACAATCTTATTAGATCATAAGAATAAAGAGTACAAAGAACTGATACAAATTGCAAAGGGAGCCATCTCAAGACATGAGTGTTATATATGTAAAGTTCCAAGAGATATATTAATAAATTTGATACAAATAGTTTTACAATTTATTGAATCCTCCAAAAAGAATTAATGGCCTCAAACCTCCAATCCGACTAGTGTTGAAGCCTGAGAGCAGTTGTTGATATTCACAGTGAAAAAAAAAGGCAGATAAATAGCTGGGTTTCTCAACTGATTCCTGTAATTTTAGCACTTCATAGATTTTTCTTGAGGCCCCATTGCATGCTTTCTCTTAAAGAATCTGTCAACACCAACCAAAAGAATAAAAAATCCCTGACCAGCTGTTATTGTTTGTTGGCTTTAATCATTGATTAGGCTTTGTTTTGTTCTCTGTCTTCTTTCTTTGTCTCTTTTCTCCCTTCTCCTCTGTGGAGCATGCAGGCTTGCAAACTAGAGACAAAAAAAATCAACTCTGGGATTCACCCCACATCTCCAAAAGATATTTCTGGCACTTGCTGCAACAGCTGCCATTAACATACAACAAATCAGGGCCTGCCCTTTTGGTCTTTTTGGTTTTGGGTCCTTTGGGCCCCACCTCATGGCTGCCATTGGCCCCACCTCCACGCTTTTTGCTGTGCCTGTATTCAACAACAATCTGCTCAAAGACTTCCACTTCAAACATGTTCAGCTTCAGCCTTGGGCTCATGAGATCTCTCACGTATGCAAAAGCCAACTGGTCTCTTGGGTTGAAAGCCTCCAACTCATTGAACAGCAGGCAGGAGAATAGATTGCTCCTCAATCCATGTCTTCTCAGAATTAGAGCACTGTCTGGTACATCTGCCAAATACCAATACCAAAGTCATTAGCTGATGGACCCAGAAAAGGAATGAGATAATCTAATCGATCGGCATGCAATGCATCCAAAATTCAAGTAAACCCAAGAGAAGAAAATACGCAAATACCCAATGACATAATGAAATAAAATCTGCCTTTGAAACTCCCATTCCAATGCATTGTGAACTGTGTTACGGTGCCATGATTTGCAAGTTGCTTGCTGGGACCACATTGATTTTAATATTAAAACCACATTGGATCACACTTTTTTATTTTTCTGGACCACGCACATAGCTAACCAAGTTTAAGTGCATCTACCTCAGGAAATATCTTCGTTTTTACGAGATGAATTGGATACAACAAGGAAAAAAAGAGAAGAAATTTATAACATTTCTTCCCACAAGAAATAAAATATGCTTGTTTGGCATAAGAGCATCTTAGCAGTTAGCATCACATTATTTTTCAAGAATTAACAAATGAAACTTGATAGATACTATCTCAAGGCTAGAACTTCTCACCGTCCCCAGATTCGAGCTTATTCTCAAACACCAAAACCAGTAATTTAATGGTTGAGGTTTACCTGAAACATTAATTAACCTCTTGTACAGACATCACAGGTTATAGTTCCTAAAGTATGTGTACAGTTGAAATATAGCTGTATCATTAAATGACCGTCTGATGGAAGCTTTCAAAAGAAAACAACACCAAAAACGTTGAAGGTGACAACTGAAATCTAATAACTTATCTGCAAGTGGTATACCTGTGGGATAGGGGAGCTTGTTGGGACTCCAAGGAAGCAAACCATTCTCACAATAAGTCTCCATCTGCCTCTTCAAGCCATCAACATCCCACCATTTCTGCCACCTTGCAGTTGCCATTGCTTCTTCCATGGTATGAATATAGTAGGGATGTTTTGAAATTGCCATGTCTGCATTCTCAGATACAACAAGTGAATGAATCAGCAGCAATGGATCAACCATCAGCTGCAACTTTGCGTCAATCCAAATGCTGAATTTTGAGTTTGGGAAGAGCCTATGGACTAAATATTTTGGTATGACACCATTCATTGCTGGATTCTCATACAAACCCTTGCTCAAAACCTTGACAACCCTCCATGCTCCTATCTTATAGTTTTTGGATTTGCTTGGAATTATTCTATGGTAGACAAGTCCTTTGAGGGTTACATCATCTATAAACAGAAAGAAACATACATTGTCTAGGGTTTTCGATCCGAGGCCTCGGGGCTGTCGAATTTTATCATGGTCATTGAAGATGGCAGAGACCACTACAACTCCGTTGCAGTTTTCCATAGCTGTTCGATCTGAATTACATACAAAATAGCAGGGTTAGTCATAAATGTAGCTGAATTTAAAAAGGAAGGAGATAAAAATTGAGACTTTATCGAACTTGCTTGGGTACCAAACTAACCAGAATTACTAATTGGAAATTTCTTCAAAAACCCACAAGGGAATTCAATGCTATCATTATAATGAACAAAATAGGGAATTCTGTCTTGGGTACTTAAATTTCCTGCAAAAGTCTCAGCCTTGCCCTGCATATACCGCAAACCCGATGAAGACCATGAAGAATTCTTACAGAAATTTTGGATCTCATTCAAGACCATCCAATAATCTGAGCACAAAAACAAAAACCCATTTACGAAAATCTCCAAACAACATAATTAAATGCCAAAATTGAAGAAAAATGAGCTCAAAAAATGGAGGGTACCCGAGAAAAAGACAGGGGACGAGCAAGTGGTACGGTGGGTTGGGATTGCATACTTGTGCTCTCCATAGGTTGCAGGGTAGGAGAAGAGAGGGGCCTGAATTGGGTCGAAAGGGGAGGATCTGAAGAGGCATTTGGTTTGGGAGAGAGAGGTGTAGATAGCTAGAAACAGAGAGGTGAAGAGGTAGAGCAGAGAGAAACAGACCAGCTTTGATTGAAAGAGCAGAGGAGTGGACGTTGCTTTCCCCATAAAATTCATAAGTTTGATCGCCTTGATTTATATTCCTCATTTATCTATTATTCTATTGTTCTTTCTTTTTTGACAGATTCTTTATTATTATTTAATTAAATTTAAAAAAAAACATAAGATAATCCCCACATGTTGACTAGTTTCTAACTAGTTGCCCAAATTGCCCCTAGAATATGAGAAGTCAAAGAAGAAGCTAGGTTGTTTTTCTGGTCAAAGAAATAGCTAGTTTGATGATGTATGGGAGCTTCAGTTACAATCGTTTGCTTTTGGTAAGATTTTTTTTTCTTCGAAGTTTGGAAGGGGGATGTCATTGGGATCAAGCATGAGATCACTGATTTGCCAAAAAAAATTTACATGTAAATCTCCGATCAATAATACAATGACATATAGAAAAGTTATCATATGTGTCATTGCATTATTTGTCGAGGATGGCAAAAAGTTCTATCTCCATTACATGAGAGTTTCTCTCCTGATCTGCGCATAAATACTCTTACCATTGAGCTACGGATCAGTTGGCTTTGCCAAGGTTTATTTACCTCAAATATTTTTGTTTTTCTTAATGTACTTGGTTTCATAAGGAATGGGTTCTCTTAACTCTTGAATTAAGTGGCAATATGTCATTACACATACTAAGAATAATGTGGCCTAACTTTAAAGTCCTATTAAATTTTGCTAGGAGGGGAAAATTAATGAAGTGGCCTAACTTCAAAAGCTTATTATGTGTAATGTACAAGGGATTGCATTCCCAATTTAGTGGACAGCATTTTCAATGCTGCATCATTGGACTTTTGAGACTTAGGACTTGTGAGGGGGATGATGAAGGATAATCATCATCATCACACAAAAACATTAGAAGTGCCTTTCGCTTTAAGAAAAATACTAATCAAGTTTCTTTGATGCCTGCAAGGTAGGGTTGATTTGATCCTCCATATCAATCACTAATGGCAGGTCTGATTTGGACTCTAATTTATCGAATTATCAATAGCAGCTTATAAAAATGTTTTTCTTTGTTTTTTTTAATTAAAAAAATAATGTTTGTGGTCCTTCCTGATCTTGTCTAATCATATTTTAGTTTGGTTGGGTTTGTAATAGTTTTTGGGCTCGCATTTTGGGCCTGGTCTTTGCCTTGGGAATATTGGACCTGAAGATCATGTTCAATATATGTTGTTGAGGTCGTTGTACATTGGAATGGACTCAGATTCTCTGCTCTAATTTTCTCTGCCATGATCTACTTGATTTTTGTCTTCCACATACTACCTCATTAAAATTTAATCTAAATGACTTAAAAGTAGACATATCATTCTTCAAACAAAAACCCAATTTACTCTTAATTATAAAAAATAAAAAATAAAAAAAACCCTAACCCCCAACTAATGTCAACACATCATTCTTTAGACCTGCCATTAGTGATTGATATGGAGGATCATGACAGAGAAAATCTGAACCTAGAATATTATGAGATGCGATTTCAAAAGAATTATCCTTAGCAATAATGTCTAGAACTTATCCATACTGTGTCGTTTGTACTAGTTGTTGTGCTCACCTTTGGGTTTCTAAATAATAAAGATTTTCAAACCTGAAAAAGTAATGCTTTGTTCATTGGAGATCTGGAATGAACTTCAGTACTCAAGTCATTCTATAAGGAATTTGATCCAACGATTGAAAAATAGGATATCATCTAGGGTCTCTCACTATAGAATTCTTATTTGGTACTACGACACCAAACATGAATTAGCAATTCCCTATGAACTATATTTTTGCGAGTGTGATTTTTCTTTTCCAACTTTCTTTTCTGAGTCAAGGAAAAGTCAATAGCTAAAAGCTCATCTCTTATTTCTTGTTTCTTTTTGCTTGCGCCTCTATTATGTCCTTTTTGAGCATGTGGACGACCTTCTCAAACTCGTTGAAATTTGTACTGAGTTTATGGAGTTGGCATTCTTCCATGCTTTCTTTTTTACGTGGTGTACAGTGGAATTCTTCATTTAGATCGTTAAATTCTCTTCAATATTTTGTCCCTTCATTCTTGTTGCACTCTATGATGTGAACGATAGCCTGAAAACATGGAAATACAAAATTGTAATCATGTTAATTTATTGTTAGTTCATGTGGGTTTGATTGGTTGTCAAGAAATGTTCAAGATAAACTTTTCATACCTTGAATAGCGGACGCTGTGCATCTGAAATCTCAACATGTCTCAAGCATTCACGGCCGAGCCCCTCCTTAAAATCTCCCTACGGCACATCAACCATCAAAACCAAACAAGAAAACTAAAATTTTCTTTATGAATTGGAATGTTGTAAGTAAAATTAGTTGTAACAATTACCTTGTATATAAGCATTTCTACTAGTAACATCTCGTATTCATATGCTTCATGATTTCTTCCTTCATTGCGTGCCTTTGCTGTTGCATTCTTTAATATTTCAACTGCTTGGGCTTCTTTCCCACTCATTTCAAGCTTCCCAATAACCGACTTTCATAGGCAAAGAAACAAAGCTAGCTAGTAAACTCAAGCATCTTAATTTGAGATTAAGAGAATTTTTTTATATACCATTTTAATAAACCTGCAGCTTCTTGTAATCAGGGAATTTTTCTGCAAGGTGAGGGTTTAGGGAGAAATTAGTTCTAACACTGAAGTTTTTGGAGAAATTCACCATGTTAACGTTTGTTCTGGTGAGATTTTTCGTTTATATTATGTTCTGTATAAGTTACCCTAAATTATTATGTTATTTATATTATGTCATTCTGATTTCAGTCTTGCAAGGTGGGATTTTGCAAGCTATTAGAGAAGTTCATTCTTCTCCTAGATGAGAAGCAATAACTTATTCCAATGCTTTATTGGGATTTCTTATCTTCCAAGCAAAGCATTTTGCCAGTATCTAGTTAAGGCCCTGGCCTAAATATAGGGAACTATATATCAAAAAGATTAGAGAGACACAATGTAATGCAGTTAATAGATACTACCCTTGTTTCTTTCTGGAAAATTCTTACTCACACCTCAAGAATGTGTAGCACATTTTGTTTTTGGCCAAAGTACTTAGACAAAGTATGGATTCCGGTTTGCTGGTGGATTCCAGCGTGTTACTTGTAGGGTTATCGTTCGATCTCCCTATTTCCTTATATCTCGCTGCGTCACCCTGGCCTACATATAGAGAACTTTTTTTTTTTTTTTTTCTGAAAAATTCGTACTCACACCTCAAGAATGTGTAACACATTTTGTTTTTTGCCAAAGTACTTAGACAAAGTACGGTTGGCCAAAAGAAAAATTCTGTATTACAAAAGGACATGATGTTGATGCCTTGCCTTGACTAACAAAGTGATACCTTTCTTCACTCCTGAAATACCCTCATACTCATATTCTGTCATACCCTGGGTCCGGTGCGTGGGGCGTGACATGCACAGTCCTTGCCATTTCAGATTATGACCAAATAAATAATAGTATTGTTAATTAACTCTACAATTGCTACCTAGTACCTTATACCCTCAAAACTGCACAAATTATTTCATGGATTCTGCACTTTGTCCCCAATATGGTGCTCTATGCGGGCCTTCCACCATGAATGTGACTAGGGTGCCCAGGCTTCTTCCCAATTTCAACAGCCGTTCTTCTCTTTCACTTTCTTCCTTGTGTTCCACACACCGTGCCGTGTCGGGGCATGCCTTCAGCCCTGTGATTTCTGCTCTTAACAAGCCCTCAACACCTTCAACAAATGACAAAGATGATAAAAAGTTAATTGTGAGAGGCATGGGGGGTGCCTCTGTGGTTTTGGCCTGTGTCCTTGGCATCATGAGTTGCAACTACAAGTTCACCCCCAGAGCCCTTGCAGATGCTGGAAAGCAAGGCATAGTGTATCCGGAAAGCGCCAAGGACGTGTTACAATCCTTGTTAATGGTAAATCAGAACGTTGCCTCATCTAAATACAAGTATTTCCCAAAGAAGCTCAAGCTGCCTCCAGAGCCTTCCAAAATAGATTGTGACCATCTTAAGGTAACGTTCCATCCATACACACTCTGCTATTAGTTTGAACTGTAAACTACAATTATAGAACTAAAGGTTTGTATATTAGTTTATCTTAGAGTGCAAGAACGGAAAAATGAGTGGCTAAATATGCACTGAAATTGCCTTTCCCGGCATTCATCTTGTGAGATTGTCTACTCACAGGCAAGCTCAAGCCTCACAGCTAGAACAATTACCTTCCCCTTGAAGAATTAAAGTTCTTGAAGCCTTGTAAGTTGGTTTGTTTCAAGAGATATTATGCAGAGGTGCCATATTTAAAAGTTGGTCACCAACTAAACACTGCTCACATCCATTTAATTTAAGTAGCAAAATGAATTGGTAATTTTAAGATATTAGAGTATTTCACCCTTAAATCTTTAGTGTACTTACTGCTAACTTAGTGCACTGCTTGTAGGTTCAAGCAGCAGGGCTGATCAAAGCTGGAAAGGGTGATGAAGCAGAAAGACAACTAAAAAATATATACAATGACGTGGTGACGGGACAAAAAAGCGAGTCTGCATACCATGTGCAGATGGCACTGGTAGCAATTCTCATTTTCCAGGTTTGTCAAATTGCAGTTACAAAGACAACACACTAAAATATATAGCCCAATTCAGTATGAAAGACCTTGATTTATAGTAGCACGTCATCAACAAAGACAACGCTATTTCTTCTTGGATATTCACATTTCTTGCTAGGATGTAAGCAACTGCAAATGTATTTCTGCTTATGTAGGGGAAGTACCAAGAAGCTTTGAATTGGGTTTGTCACAACAAGGATCAGGCTATTACATCGGATGGTCGGGTTCATCTATACAAGGTCATTCATTCTATTCCATCGGATTATTTTTGTTGTAATATTTTTGTCCTTTTAGGTAATTCTACATAAGGGTAAACTTGTAATTGAAAAAATGAGTAAAGAGGTGAGATTAGTAAAAAAAGAGGGTAGGAATGGAAAAATTTACACCTCTGTTCATTCATGTACTTCAACATTTTTCGTTATCGGTTTGAAGTTTACCCAAAATTACAACTTCGTCGGTTTTTCTTTGGTTGTTGTTCGCAACTTCAATCCATTGGAAGCATAGATTGATGACAATTTTGTCGGTTTTTCTTTGGTTTAAAATTTCAACGCATTGAATGCTCAAATTGACAATTTTATCAGTTTTATAACAAAAAAGGCGTGTCTAAGTCACATATGACCTCATTCACTTGTTACTTTAACTAATAATTGCTAACCCTAGTTCCCTAAGGGTTTGGGACGGGGTCAAAACTATTTCACCTCACCTCATGTATATAGTTTCTACAGTAAAGTTTTAATCTTTTTCACTAAAAACTTCTGTTTTGCAAATTGCAAGCTATTATACCTACTAATTAAAAAGAAAAACAAGCTAACAGAATCTCATTATTGTTACTTTTTTCAGGCTATTATATGTACTATGTTGGATAAAAATAAAGAAGCCAAGGAATGCTGGAAAACATTCATCCGCTCTCTTGACAATGAGGGTTTGCCAAATCCAATGTCGACGCTAGAGCCTAACAAGTCTAAGCGTAAGTAGCACAGCAATCGGATCAAGATATGAAAGGTGCCTTCACCAATTAGACGGCCTGATATTCATACTTTTTATTTTATTTTTTTATATTTTTAAATCTTGTTTTTTTAATTGAGAGATTATCAAAATGCATTAAATTTGTTTTCTCTATTTATGGATGGCAGAAATCCCAGTCGGGTCGGGTTCCCATCGGCGGGTACAGGTACCATCCCTGTCTCCGAACCCGGCCCGATATTTATATGTTTATTTTTAAATTAATAAATATATAATATAATATTCAAACAATATTCAAATGGGTGGTAAAGAGATTCGTACCTCTAACCTCCTCCTTTAAAGTTAAAGGCAATAACCTTACCACCAGTGGACAAACAATGCTTATGTTACAATTAAAAAAGCATTAAATTTGTTTTCTCTATTGCCTAGACCTCAATTAACAATAGAACGAATTTGTTCAAAGGAATTATCTTTCCTACGACCGAATGAATGAAATTTAGGCAGGGAATTCAAATGTGCCAAGTCCAAAAGGCAAATATTTGGGGTTTTTTTATATACCCTTGGAGATATGAAACGCACCTACACAAATGGTCCCTACGAAAACAATTGAGTTTTTCATTTAAATTTATAAAATTTAAAACTGAAAAAACCTTTGTGCCTAAAATTTTGGTTTTTTCATTTGAGATTTTGGTTTTCATTTCTAAATTTTAAAAACTCCCTTAGTTTGCTCATGTGGCATATATATGGAGCCCACATCTCCAATGATATAGTGCCACATGTATTTAAAATACAATATATTTTTTTAAAAAAATTTAAAATAAATATTGGTTTTTTCATTTTTAAATTTTATGAATTTTAAATTATTTTTAAAAAAACTCCATTAGTTTGTTAATGTGGCATATATGTGGAGCCCACATCTCCAATAATATTGTGTCACGTGTGTTTAAAATACAATATATATTTTTAAATAATTTAAAATTTATAAAATTTTATGAATTTTAAATGAAAAAATCAAAACAATTTCGCATGGACCATTTGTGATAGGTGCGTGAACCTCAAGGATGTTTTGTGATATATATATATATATATATATATATATATATATATATATATATGTGCCACGTCAGCAAACTAAAGGAGTTTTTGATGAAACCTAACGGCATGGACTATTTGTAAGTACACATACTAACCTTGAGAACCACGAATGATACCCAAAAAAAATAAATAATAAGGATGCAATTTGATAGTTTTGTAAACCTTATGGACATTTTGTGATATTAAGCCTATTTATAACTCTATTACTTTTAGAAATTCTACATTTTTTAATTATAAAATAAATTGACCGAAATGCCATTAAACTTAACAGAAAGTTTAACTTAAGTTACATCGCAAGCCATTGGGGTCTTTTACATGCTCATTGACATAAAAAATTGAAAAGAAGAAGATGAAGAAGCATGTTTTAAATAATAAAAAATTAATACAAGAAGAAGCATGGTTTAATAATATACGTGTGGAGTGAGCTTTAGGCATAGGATGGGCTAAATTTCTACACTTTTTTTGGGACAATGTTACCAATGTTTTCTTTCACCAAAAGATGGCCTGGGCTATACTCATGGGAGAAAATACCTAGTTGTGCCCATGGTAAATACAAGATAGAGTTGGGGAAGATGCTACAATAAGGGGATTTTGGTGAGGGGGTTGAATGAGGGATTTTGGTGAGGAGGTTGAGGTACAATATTTTCTCTCCCTTATTGGATAGTGGGATTGAACCCCTTCCACAGCCCCTCATTATAGCATTTCCACAAGAGTTGCTGAGAATAATTATTGAGGGATTCTTCAAATTATGCTTATGGGGTGTCTACTATGAATTTCATTCAACGATTCGACGGTCTATTTCACAGGTCTTCATTCATACTTCATGGATTATATTTGCAAAAAAATTAGACAAATAAAAAACCATTAAATCATAATGACGGACAAAATAAACAAATACGGTGCTTTCAAGAAATTAAAAAGACAACTATTATATTGAGTGATGAAATGGTTTGGATTCAAATGATTAAAAAGACAACCATTATACGGTGCTTTTCCAACTTTCTTTTTTGAGTCAAGGAAAAGTCAATAGCTAAAAGCTCATCTCTTATTTCTTGTTTCTTTTTGCTTGCGCCTCTATTATGTCCTTTTTGAGCATGTGGACGACCTTCTTAAACTCGTTGAAATTTGTACTGAGTTTATGGAGTTGGCATTCTTCCATGCTTTCTTTTTTACATGGTCTACTCTGGAATTCTTCTTTTAGATCGTTAAATTCTCTCCAATATTTTGTCCCTTCATTCTCGTTGCACTCTAATATGATGTGAATGATAGCCTGTAAACATGGAAATACAAAATTGTAATCATGTTAACTTAATTGTTAGTTCATGTGGGTTTGATTGGTTGCCAAGAAATGTTCAAGATAAACTTTTCATACCTTGAACAGCGGACGCCGTGCATCTGAAATCTCAACATGTTTCAAGCATTCACGGCCGAGCGCCTCCTTAAAATCTCCCTACGGCACATCAACCATCAAAACCAAACAAGAAAACTAAAATTTTCTTTATGAATTGGAATGTTATAAGTAAAATTAGTTGTAACAATTACCTTGTATATAAGCATTTCTACTAGTAACATCTCGTATTCATATGCTTCATGGTTTCTTCCTTCATTGCGTGCCTTTGCTGTTGCATTCTTTAATATTTCAACTGCTTGGGCTTCTTTCCCACTCATTTCAAGCTTCCCAATAACCGACTTTCATAGGCAAAGAAACAAAGCTAGCTAGTAAAATCAAGCATCTTAATATGATATTAAGAGAAGAAAAAAAAAATACCATTTTATTAATAAACTTGAAATTTAATCATGCCATTGTGGACTATTCATATTTGGAGATGATGCCTAACCTGCAGCTTCTTGTAATCAGGGTGTTGTTCTGCAAGGTGAGTCTTCAGCTCACATTCAGCTACCTCCACTGCGGATTTGTCTGCTCGAGCTTCGTGATATTCGAACAATCTCTGCAAGGCAAGCTGCCCTCCATGGAGGACTGCTATGGACATGGACCTTGTAAGTTGAGGGCCTTGATCCTCTTCTTTGCTCATTTTTCGGGCGCGAGATATGTAAGCCCCTACAACATAAATGCTGGCAAAGACCACGGTTGCCATCGCTCCATATTTAGTTCTAACACTGAAAGTTTTGGAGAAATTCACCATGTTAACGTTTGTTCTAGTGAGATTTTTCGTTTATATTATGTTATGTATTGTTACCTTAAATTTGTGAAATATGTGAGGAAAAAGGATGGTGCCGTGTGATTGGCAAGTTATTTAGAAAAGCTGTAATTGATACTTGGGAAAAGATAATGATTTCAGTCTTGCAAGGTGTCAGAGAAGTTCATTCTTCTCCTAGATGAGAAGCAATAACTTATTCCAATGCTTTATTGGGATTTCTTATCTTCTAAGCAAAGCATTTTGCCAGTATCTAGTTAAGGCCCTGGTCTACATATAGGGAACTGTATCAAAAAGATTAGAGGGACACAATGTAATGCAGTTAGTACTGTTGTTTCTTTCTGGAAAATTCTTACTCACACCTCAAGAATGTGTAGCAGATTTTGTTTTTTGCCAAAGTACTTAGACAAAGTACGGATTCCAGTTTGCTAGTGGATTCCGGCGTGTGTTACTTGTAGGGTTATCATTCAATCTCCCTATTTCCTTACATCTTGCTGAGTCACCCTGGCCTACATATAGAGAACTATTCTTTTCTGAAAAATCTTACTCACACCTCAAGAATGTGTAACACATTTTGTTTTTTGCCAAAGTACTTAGACAAAGTACGGTTGGCCAAAAGAAAAATTCTGTATTACAAAAGGACATGATGTTGATGCCTTGCCTTGACTAACAAAGTGATACCTTACTTCACTCCTGAAATGCCCTCATACTCATATTCTGTCATACCCTGGGTCCGGTGCGTGGGCCGTGACATGCTCAGTCCTTGCCATTTCAGATTATGACCAAATAAATACTAGTATTGTTAACTAACTCTACAATTGCTACCTAGTACCTACCCTCAAAACAGCACAAATTATTTCATGGATTCTGCACTGTGTCTCCAATATGGTGCTCTATGTGTGCCTTCCCCCATGAGAGTGACTAGGGTGTCCAGGCTTCTTCCCAATTTCAACAACCCTTCTCCTCTTTCACTATCTTCCCTGTGTTCCACACACTGTGCCGTGTCGGGGTATGCCTTCAGCCCTGTGATTTCTGCTCTTAACAAGCCCTCAACACCTTCAGCAAATGACAAAGATGATAAAAAGTTCATTGTGAGAGGCATAGGCGGTGCCTCTGTGGTTTTGGCCTGTGTCCTTGGCATCATGAATTGCAACTACAAGTTCACCCCTAGAGCCATTGCAGGTGTTAGGGACCCACCATATCAGACAAGTCGTTCTTCTGTAAAGCAAGACATATCGTATCCAAAAAGCGCCAAGGACGTGTTACAATCCTTGTTGATGGTGAATCAGAACGTTGCCTCATCTAAAAATTCGGTTCTCCCAAATTTTAACAATCTCAAGTCGCCTCCGGAGCCTTCCATGAAAGATTGTGAACAACTTATGGTATACTCTTCCATCCATACACACTCTGTTATTAGTTTGTACTGTCAGATTTGGGGTAAACAACTACAATTATAGAACTAAAACGTTTGTATTAGTTTATTTTAGAGTCTAGTAACATAAAAATGCGAACTAAAATTGCCTTTCCTGGCATTAATCTTTTGAGCTTGTCTACTCACAGGCAAGGTCAAGCCACACAGCTAGAACAATTACCTTTCTTTTGAAGAATTAACGTTATTGAACCCTTGTATGTTTGTTTATTTCATGAGAAATCTATGCGGAGGTGCCATAAATAACACCAACCAAACATTGGTCACATCCATTTAATTTAAGTAGCAAGCAAAATGAATTGGTAAATTTAAGATATCAGATATTTCACCTTTATATCATTACATTTTCTGTAATATCGATTAAAGAACGTACGTCTCCACATAGCCTAGCTAGAATTTATTTAGTGTACTTACTGCTAACTTAGTGCACTGCTTGTAGATTCAAGCAGCAGCGCTGATCAAAGATGGAAAGAGTGATAGAGCAGAAAGACAACTTCAAGATATATACAATAACATGGTGACGGGAGGAAAAACGGAGCCTGCATACAATGTGCAGATGGCACTGGTAGCAATTCTCATTTTCCAGGTTTGTGAAATTGCAGTTACAAAGACAACACACTAAAATACATAGCCCAATTCAGTATGAAAGAACTTGATTTATAGTAGCACGTCATCAACAAAGACAATGCTTTTTCTTCTTCGATATTCACATTTCTTGCTAGGATATAAGCAAATTTAATGCAAATGTATTTCTGCTTATGCAGGGGAAGTACAAAGAAGCTTTGAAATGGGTTTGTCTCAACAAGGAGCACGCTATTCCATCGGATGGTCGGGTTCATCTATATAAGGTCATTCATTCATTCTATTCCATCGGATTATTTTTGTTGTAATATTTTTGTCCTTTAAGGTAATTCTACATAAGGGTAAACTTGTAATTAACAAAATGAGTAAAGAGGTGAGATTAGTAAAAAAGAGGGTAGGAATAGATCACTCTAGAAAAACTTACCCCTCTTTATTCATTTACTTTTAACATTTCGTTATCGGCTTCAAGTTTACCCAAAATGACAATTTTGTCGTTTTTTCTTCGGTTTAAAACTTTAACGCATTGAATGCTCAAATTGACAACTTTGTCGGTTTTATTACAAAAACAAGTGTGTCTAAGTCACATATATGACCTCATTCACTTGTTACTTTAACTAACCATTGCTAACCCTAGTTCCCTAATAGGGTAGGGACAGGGTCAAAACTATTTCACCTCACCTCATTTACCTGTTTACTTTTATAGATACAAACAAATGTACTGTACACGTACATAGTTTCTACAGTAAATTTTTAATCTTTTTCACTAAAAACTTCTCTTTTGCAAATTGCAAGCTATTATACCTAGTAAATAAAAAGAAAAACAGCTAACAGAATCTCATTATTGTTACTTTGAAATTTTCAGGCTATTATATATACTATGTTGGAAGAAAATAAAGAAGCCAAGGAATGCTGGGAAACATTCATCGGCTTTCTTGACAATGAGGGTTTGCCAAATCCATTGTCATCGCCTTCACATGGGTCTAAGCAAAAGCAGCACAGCGGTCGGTTCAAGATATGAAAGGCGCTATTCATATATATTTGTTTTTAATTGAGAGATGATCAAAATGCATCAAAATTGTTTTCTCTATTGCCTAGACCTCAATTCAATTGATCTCCATTATTTCGTTACTCAATCTCCCCCCCCCCCCTAAACAATAGAATGAATTGTTCAAAGGAATTATCTTTCCTATGACGGAATGAATGTGCAAGTCCAAATATTTTGCTAGGGTTTAAGTTTTCTTAGTATGTAGTTGGGTGGTAAATTGGCCTCCTTGAGTTGAATGGTTGACATAAGCTACATATGGCAAACCTTTGGGGTCTTTTGCATACCCTTGAGGACATGCAACGGGGATAACACTGTTTTCCTATCCTCATCCAATAATGTTATGCCATGTAAAAGTGTTATCAAGCGCGTCATAATGTTATTGGTTGAGAATAACAAACTAGTGTTATCCTCTTTAAGACGTATGACATTATAAACCATAGTTTAATACAAGTGCGGGGTTGGAGTGGGCTTTTGGAATAAGGATGAGCTAAATTTCTACTTTCGTTTTTTGGGACAATGTTGGGCTAAAAGATGGGTTGGGTATATCCATGGGAGAAAATAGCTGGTTGTGCCCTTGGTAAATACAACTTACAAGATCAAGAGTTGATGAATGAGCATGCATTATGCATAACATAAAATATACGTCTGTTGACGAAGAAACATATAAGATATTTGTCTATTATCATGTGTAATGTGTAAGAGGTTCCAAGGGGAAAGGCCTTGTGTAGTTATAGCAACTACCACTAACAACTGTCAGAAAGAATCAAATGCATGAGATGATGCAGGCAGAGGACAAGTCAAGGAAGTGTTTTGTGTTGGTTTTCCTCGCTGTCTGCTCATTGACAACTTTCGGTTGAACAAAATGTTGAAGGAGAAAACCAACGTGATGGGACCATTTATGGTAATAGTCCAACCAAAAATGGGAAAAAACACAGTCATTATATATAGATTTGTGAAAGAATCTTATATAAATTCCAAGAGTGCTGTGCTGGGTACTGTCCCAAAAGATATCTGCAAATAAACAGAAGATAACTTGTAATATTTAAAAAAAAAAAAGTAAAAATTGTGAGATGATTAAATGGTAGGAATAGATTATTTATTTATTTCTGCATCTCGTTATCAGTTTGTTACAAGGAATCATTATAACAAAAAAGTAAGATATCAAAGATAAAATCGAGTGATTCCTCAAACTACTCAACTCTATTTTTACTAAATAAAGCATAACGAGCTAGTCGGTACGCAACCTCGTTAGCCTGACGACCGAGAAAAGAGAATAAGAAACCATATATTTAACTTTTTTTCGATGAAAGAAACCAGATTTATCTTTGATAAGGTCTTTGATGTCCTCAATCGACCAAGAAACATATAAGATATTTGTGTATTATATGTATATATCGTGTGTAAGAGGTTGCAAGAGAGAGGCAGAAAATCGTGGGGATAACAACTGTCATAAATCATGTTGTTATGCATCAAGGTCTGATGACATAACTATTTAGGAGCTTTGCTTATTGTCTGCTCAGTTTCAGGGCCTGATGACAGCTTTGGGTTTAACAAAATGCCCAATCCAAAACCAACAGTATGGGCATTTTAAATAAATGTCAGAGAAAAGGGGGAAAATATGTTTTTTTATTTTTAAATAATACCATTTATGGTAATAGTCCAACAAATGATATAGATTCTAAGTTTGTAGCCAATAATGGAAAAAAACACAATCATTATACATAGATTTATGAACTATTTGTACTGCCCCAAGACTGCTGTGCGTACTGCTCCAAACGATATTCGTACTATTTATGAATAATTTGTACTATTCATACCTAAACCTATCATCTATCGTCTTATCTTATATTTGTATGTCCAACTTATCTCTCTACTTTCACCAAACAAAAAAATAATAATAATAATCTCTTTACAGTTCACATAATATAACTCAATCACTTAAACTACTTAAACTACAAATAGTAAT